GCCCCGACGAGTCGGCCACTCAAAATTCCGCCAGCTCTACCTTGGAGGTCGCTCCCCCAATCCTTCAAGACGCCGGCAGCGCCGCCACGCGGCGCGAACTGCTGTTGGGCGTCGAGTCGTACCTCCTGGTGCTGACCAAGTGGCAGGCCGCCGCGGCCGCCAGCGAGGCGCTCGTCGCGCGCGCGGCCGGCGGCGGCGACGGCGGCGGCGCGGGGGCTCGCAAGGTCGCGGCGCTGCTGCTGTCTGTCGGGTTTGAGGCGGGGATGTGGGACCTTCTGTCGGTGCTTGCCACCGCTCGGCTCGCATGCAAGGCAGTCTTGGACATGATCGGGCCGGAGCAGGCGCTGCCGGCGGCCTAGGCAGGCCTCACAAGGCAGTGTCGCCTTTGCCGGGGCGGGGGTGCTGCGTGGCGTCGGCGTTGTTTGGGGCCGGGCGCTCGCCCTCAGCACGGGGTGAGCCAGTGAGCAGGGGTGAGGGGGCGGTGCCTCGCAGGCATGAGGGGCCCCATATAGTCAAGGCCTGCTGTTGTGATGCAGGATGGGCCCCCCTCGGGCGCCGGCTGCGCCTCCACGCCCTGCATGTGTGCCAAGGGATGCATGCGCGAGTGCAGTCGGCCTCTGTCTGTGGATTTCCTGGCGACTTACGCCAGCCTGGGTTTCGTCAGGTGTTTGCAGCCCGAGTGAGAACGATGGGCCTTTTTGCCATCCGCCTGCTGGGTAACAGCGGGAGCCGCGGCCCGTTAGTGCCGGCGGGCCAATCACATCGCGGCACATGCCAAACGGCGTTTGCTGTGGGCATCGCACGCGCGCGGAGACGCCGCACAACGCCAGCGTGCCGTTTGCGCTGCTTGGCGCGCACTGCGGACGCCCGCGAGCCGCAAACGGCGCACGCCTGAGAGCCGCCGCCCTGGTCCCGGCGCCTGCCAAGGGGGGGGGCCGCAATCGTGGCCCGCGCCAGCCCCCTCGCAGCTGCTCGCCGCTTTGCTCGCCCATCCAGCGGGGCCCGCCACAAAACCGGGCTTTGCAGGCGATTTCATTCCTGGTTGCGGGGCGCTGCCCCATCACCTTCCAAAGCAGCGAATGTGTCCCTAGCAGTCTCGTGTGCTTTTTGTAACCTCTCCTCTCAAAGTCTGAAACCCTAATAGGCTCCAAACCCTGGGCACATGTACATTGCGCTACACCTGCGTTGTGGGGTGGCTTTTCTTACAGCCACTGGCAGGCGTGCGCGCGCCGTGGGTTTGCTGCTGTCAGCTTGCCACCTCTGCCGCAGCGCCCAACCCCTTGGGCCAATAAAGCATACGCAGAACTCTTTGCAGTGGCAGCAGCGATTGCAGTGCACAGACGTGGGAATGATTGACAGCAGCCAAGGGGCATGATTGCGATACTCACAGCCGCACGGCAGGACAACTTCCAAAAACAGCTGCAACTGGAAAAAATTAAGTTGTGGAGCTGCCGGCAGGGTCGAAATAGAATCCACGCATGTGTGCGAGTGAATGTGCGTGCATGAAAACATTGATGTGCACGCGTGTGAGCGTGCGCCCGTGCGCCCGTGCGTGCATTCACAATTGTTGGGCAAATTAGTTGAAGCAACACCTGCTGCAGGAGACGTCAAAACAATGCTCAAATAGCAAGTTGCGCCGGAACCCTGCGCCCCATCCCCCTTCCCCCCAGCTCCCGAAGATCTGACAGCGCAGCAAACCACGCAAACGACCCTGAAACACCCCTCAACCTGATGCGCGTGACCTGCCAAATCACCAGCCTAACCGAGGCTTGCACAGCTGATCGCTCGTGGCGCCGATCGCGGTGCCGTTCTTGGGCTGCGGCGGCATGCCCCAAAAGTCGGCCTTGTAGCCGCTCGGCCGCCCGCTGGCAGGCGTGAAGGCGCTGACGATGCCATTGCACCAGTGCCCCTGCTCCGAGTACCCGTCGAATCCCCAGATCTTCTTGTGGGGCTCGCCGCACGGCAGGGGCTTGAGCCTTCCCGCCTTTTCCAGATCTGGTATCATCTTGACCTTTGCGCCGCTGCAGATGGGGTGCGGGTGTTGATGGGGCGCAGCGAGGCGGGCGGCCGCGGGTTGGCGCCGTGGTTGTGTGGGCGCTGCAAAGCCAGCACACGGCGCTGTTGGTAGGGGGTGATTAACGCGCTGAGCAGTAGCGCTGAGAGCTGCGAAGCGCAGGGCGCTGCTGACATCTTTGCGCCCCTGCCCAGATTCCCAAACTCTCAAAGCCCGCTACCAGGGCGACATGCCTGGCGCGAATGTGAGGCCTCCTACGTCGACGCCTGGCCCTCACGGCCCCCGCTCCGACACACCCTCACGCTTCTGAGGCCCGGGTTGCGTCTGTACAGGACATGAGTCAACCTTGCAATGCTCTGACCCCAGATCAGAACATTGAGGGCCCCTCGCCCCCTTCCCCTTGAACCACACCCAGTAGGCCCCCACACACTCTCGCAACACCCTCGCCTAAGGCGTCTCAAATCCTAGGGCCGCCCCTCCCCGCCCACACCTCTCCACGCTTGACAGCGTCACCCCCCTCATGCACGCCCCTAACAGCGCCGCTTGCCCCCCTCCCCGTGAGCCTGTGCAAGACAGGAAGCCCACCAAGTCAAGTTGTCCTGCCGCCAACAGTTCTTGCCGTCCAGTGACATGCACTCCGGCTCCCCCAAAGGGCCGTTGAAGCGGAAGGGCACGTCGGCGAACTGCGACGGGCGCCAAGGCGGGAAGGCGAGGGCACGCTTTTATTGCAAGTTGCGCAGGTGGCGAACCCCGCCTGCCGTCTCAAACTGGCGCAGCAAGCACCTCCAAGCGATCACGTACGCGCACAGCCCATGCACACTTCATGGAAGTCCTTGTTCTTTTTGCACAGCATGCGCCCGGTGAAGGCGCCCGACCGCCGACAGCAGATTGTCATGTGCCCCACGAACGCGAGGGCTTGATCTTGCCCGTCATGTCAACCGACGGCTCCCACACTCAGCCCACCTTTCCAAGGTTCACAGACAGCTCGGGGTAGCACTTCCAGGGGGTGCTGCAAATCTTACAGGACTGCTTGCCCTCCTCATCTTGATACATGCCTGAGGAGGTTTCGGTGTGCGGGGGCTGCAGTGATACATGCGTGGCGTCCTCGTTGAAAGCCGCGCGCGGCTTGTAGAGCGAGAAGGGTGGGAATAGCGTAACAGATGCAGACAGACTTGCAAAATCCGATAACGCGCAAGGCCATCGGCCGAGGCAGTTGGGGCGGGCTTTGGGTGGTGATGCATGCAGTGCTTGCCAACCACACCACCTTGCGGGCAGTCGAAGCACGTGTTGTTCTTGATAGATGACCACAATGATGGCTTGTAGGGAGGACCGAAGGTGCCCTGCAAGGCAAAATGCAAGAGGCACCAACTACTGCTATGATACAATTCCTAAAGTTTCAAAACGTTGGAACTGGCCTTGATTTGAACAACCACATTATGCTAGGAGCGGCACGATGCAAGCTATCAACGATCCCACACGCCAGCAGTCAGCACGCAGTTCATTGTGCACAGGAGCGCGGCCCCACCAGCGCACGCGCTCACCGGCGGGCAGTTCATGCACTTGGTGGGCGAGAACTGCTTCTGGGCGACCTGCCCTGCCGGGCACGCCGCGCACGCCCGCGCTGCCCAGCCGCTGTCTTGGAGAACGACGCAAGGCACGCACGTGCTCAGCAGCAGCGGCCCGCCGGAGCGGCCCTGGAAGGTGCTGCGGGCGGCCCATGCTCGGTACGTCCCCGGCTCGCAGGCGCGGCACTCAAGGGAGTTGCCGCGGATCGAGGCGCCCCTGCATATGGATGCAAGCGTGCAGGTCGTGTGGGAGGTCAGTGGGGCCCGGCAAGGGTGTTGGAAGCGCGTTCTGGGCGGTGGTAAAGCAACAAGACATGTGAGCGCACGCACCAAATAGCCTTCCACAACTGCGCGCAAACCTGGTGGCTGCCGCCGATCACCGCCTGCGTCACACGCGACCGTCCCTCACAAAGCCAGCCCCCACGCCACAACCCTTTGCCAGCACCGACCCACCAGAAGCCGTCCGGGCAGCCAAAGAATGTCTCCCCCACATGGCAGAAGCTTGACTTGTTGACGCACATCGAGATGCTGCCGGCAAATGACAGCCAGGTCGTCACGTTGACCTGATCAGGCCCACAGGGCTTGCATGTGCTCACGTCTGCCGAAAGATGCAGGGGCGGGGGTGGTTGTCTGGTTGGCGTGGCATCTGGTTTTGGAGTTCTTATGTTTGTGCGCGTGCTAACAAAATCCTAGGCGGTCCTAGCAGGACCACTGCAGCGTTGGCGCTGCCGCCCGCCACCCTGCCGACACGCACAGCGGCAAACCACTCGTCAGATCTCATGCAAACCCTCCCCCGCAGCCGCACCCCAGGCGCCTGCCTGTTTGCTCACTTGTGTCGCAGCCGCCGCCGGCGCGCGTAGTGCTCAGCGCGCAGCCGGATATCAGGGTGAGCGTGACGCTCTCCGTCCGCCGCGACCGGCGCGGCGCGGCGCCCTTGCACTGGTCCTCGGCTCGGTCCTCCACCATAGACAGCACCAGCGTGCCCTCCGCCTTTCCCTTTTCGAGGGTCCACTCTGTGTTGGTGGCGCCCTGGGGCCAAAAGTCCTGCGCGCCAGAGGGCTTCAGGCATGCGTCCGTGATGCTGTATTTGGAGCCGAGCTGCTTGCGTCGCAGGCGCGTCTTGCCTGCGGGTTGGAAGCACAGGCGCGCGGCAGGGGGCCGGGCCGGGTGGCGGGGTAAGGTGAGGTTAGGGTTGACTAGCGAGGCGGCGGGGTGAAACCAGCTTGAGGAGTCCCCCCCTGCTTATGCGTGTGTGCACACCGCCACTGTTGTTCCTGCAAGGGAGCAAACACGGCAATCAGCGCCCGTCACAATCACATGTTAACGTACCTGATGTGACGTTGTAATAGTAGCAAGACCCGAAAATCAGCTGGGTGGATGCGGCGTCCTCGGTGTCTTGGCGCCTGCAGGGGTCCATGCCGTCAATGGACTGCATACACAGCATCGTCTGATTGTCCTCGCCGGTGCCGCTGCGAGGAGGTTGGCAGGGTAGTGCGCTCAGCGGCCCATGCGGGGGCAGCGGCTGCAGTGGCGCAGGCGTGGCACGCAGGCCGCCACTGCACGGCGCGATTGTGTGCAGCTGGCTAGTGTCAGTTGGTGCGTTTCAGCTTTCCGCCAGGTGTAGCAGCAGCTGCCACACGGTGTTTTGTTCACAGTCAGCATTTGAAACTGGTGGGACGACGGGGCTGTGCATTGAATCCAGTCGCCCCTCACTTGTAGATGACTTGATACTGCCAAAGGCCTGGCGTCGGCATCTCATACTCCACTGCCCCCACTTGGACCCACGAGTCGCCAGTGAGGTTGTAAGCAACGGTCCTGATGCTCCTCCTGCCCGCACGAACCAGTGTGCCGGCTGCGGGGATGCCGGGGCCAGGGAGGGGGAAGCCGTGGTCGGGCTGTTTGTTAGCTGCTCAGATCTGTGGTGAGGCGCCTGTGGCACCCGCTGGCATGCATATAGTGCTGGCGAGCCCCGGCTGCGACGGGAGGTTGGCGGCCCTGGTGCATGAACGGTGCGCTGCTGCGCGGCTGCCGAAGGCTTGGAGCAATGCGCTCCAAAAAATCTTGAGCGCCGCCTGCTTGATAGGCTGGCGCGCCCGTGGAGCAGCGGGCGCGAGCAGCGGCGCAGCGCCCCTCTGCTTGCGAGATGCTCGACATCCCAGGGGAGCCCCGCCCCTTTTAGGTAACTCACATTCGAGACAGCATAATCCCTCTTTTGCCAGAAGGAGCACCGCTAAAGCGTATAGTAGCCGACGCACAATCGTGGGCACCATCGATGGCGCGATTCGGGTGACAGCTCGTCCCGCCCGGTGTCCTTGGGTTCAAACGGCTAATGGTTGCGGCAAAGCCCCGAGCTGAAGTCTACCGGGTCAGCTGGCTACTCGTCAAAGTCTCAACGAGTGTCCGGCTGGTGAGTTTGGTCATGTGTGGCGTTTCGGACGTGAACGATTCGCAAGGTTGTATGTTGGAGAAATAGATAACGCGTGAGAAGGCAACAGTTCAATGGAACGACCATGCTGAACAGTGGCGTGGCGGCTGCGGCGGGTATCGTGTGATGCATGACCACCCGAGATGCACAAAGACAAAGGACCCGGCGCGCCCGAGTGACCTGCAAACACGAAAAGCAAAGCACAGGCGGTGCACCAGCATGCTTGACTGCTTCTGCTCCGTTTTGTGCTGATGCAGGTGTGACATCGCATGGTCGCTGCACCCAGGGCATGTGGGTGCTCTTGGCTTCTTGCATGCATCTTCCAGCTGTCAGCCTTTTCAAAGCCTCAGCAGCCAGCCATTACCGCGGTATGGATGTACGCAATTCTCGGTGGGTTTGATCTAGGCGGCGCGCTGGGAGAGGGGAGGCAATTTTCACAGCATGCTGCATGCGAGCCTCACACACCAGACGCACTGGTTGCTAGGGTAGTGCCGGAAAGGCGACGGCGCCAAAAGACCAGGTAGCAGAAGCGCGGGTCCGGCAGGGCCAGGGCTTGCTGCTGGGCTGCCTGGACATGCAGAGTCAGTCGTATTGACCTGTGCCCGGGCAATTCGCAGCCAGCCACCCCTATTTTCAAGCTGCAACGTACCGCCCGACGGCCGCGTATTGTTTCGCACCTTTTCGTTTTGGAGCATCATCCAGGGCGCGCTGCACATGGGCAAGCCGGCCCGTGGCTGTAAACGCCCATCAGGGTTATTTCGCGCCCGCATCAGCCCCGGGCCTGCCCCAAGCGCCGCCCTGACACCATCCTGCCGCTGCCACCCATGAAAGCGCTGCGCACCCCGGCAGAGTGCACGTCCGATGCAACAGGCCTCCCTTCCCTCCAAGCCCCAAAAGAAAACATCTCAGCAACTGGGCCGCAGCGTGGTGTTGGGGGCTTGCGGCAGGGTGGTGTGGGTTGGCATGCGATTTGTGCAGCATATGAACAAATCTAGAATCCAGGAAACGACGTGCTCAGCTACCACCCAGGATGCGGTCGCCGGGACCAGTCACCCAGTCACTGCCACCCACCTGCTCCACGGCGCCAGCAGGCCGGTGCCGTAGCTGCGGCGCAGCTGGGTTTGTGCGGGGCTCGTCCTTCAAATGGCCCGCGCTTGCCTGCAAAATCAATCAAACAACCTGTCTACACCTCTCAACCAACGACTATCAAGCGTATCCAGCCTCTAGCGGAACCTGTCCGAATTGGAGCGTCGAGCTCAGCGGTACCTAGCGAGGGCTCCTCAAACACTACTTGAGCGGAAACAAAGCGTTGATCATAGATAAACAGACTCATCCCTACAACCATGGCTCGTCTCCATTGGGCACTCACTTGTGGTGAGTGCTCCCTTGAGGGCTGAAAGTGCACTGCAACAGCAGAGCTTGGGCGCCTGTCTGCGTCGCTGCACTGCCCCTTGTCCAACCCCCTCTGCTTTGGCTGATCTCACTGAAACATTTCTTTCTTTGTGTCCTACCCTTGCCACACAGCCCTGGCCCTGCTCATCGCCCCTGGGGCCCTGGGCGCGTCCCTCAAGGCCGGCGGCCTGACCGCATCTGACCGCCGTG